AAATCAAACATTGCAATTGAGCCAACAGGGGGATGAAAAAAAAAAATGTAGCCAGTCCTCCGATAAGCTGGCATTCGAAGGAGGTATGTAAGTATGCATGGCGGAACTGTCCCGTTCCAGGGTCTGCTCGCGGCATTCATTTCAGATTTCATTTCGAGGACCTCTAGGAGGATAAACTCCAGGGCAGGGTCCGTGAATTTTGGCCTTTTACCGTTTGCTCGTTTCCCGCATGCCTTTTGTGCGTCCGATTCGGTTTCGGTTTCGGATTCGGATTCAGATTCAGATTCTGTCTTGTCTGGTCTGGCCATTTGATGTGCCCACTGTCGACCGGTGGCGTTCATTTCAATTAAATGCAAATTTCAACATGGGATTTTTTCTTCACTTTTTCCGGCCGCAGTGTTGTTTTTGCTGGGGTGTGTGGAAACTCTTCCAAAGTCGGGGAATGCTTTTCACGCGTCGCTGCATTTTGTTTTTCGGCGGGGGAATCTTCTTTTCTCATTCTACTCTCGAAAAATCTTTTTTTTTCGATTTCATATAATTTTTTTGAGACGTGCCAGGTATTCATTTGATACGTTGAATAAGTTATTGTCTTCTTTTTTTAAGGCAGCTCCAGCATTGGTTTCGTAAAAAACAAGGAAGAACGCTATAGTCGAGTACCTCGACTATCAGATACCCGTTACTCAGCTTAAGGGACAAAAGGGAGATGGAGATATGCAAGCAGCAAAGAGAAATAGTAATGGCCCCGCTATGTCAATATATGGCTATGTAGGCGGTAGACAGATTTAAGCGTTATGGGCGTTCAAGTGGGCGTGGCAAAGTTGTTTTGGTCAATCGATAGGTATCGACGAAACTAATACATTACAATTACAATTTTTTTCTAGGATGGCACATTCACGTAACAAACTAGATAGTTTCCGAGATATCCGCGTTCCTATTTACGATTTTTTGAAGATTGTGGGCGGTTTGTAAGCGTTATAGTGTGCGTGGCAAACTTTTTTTAAGCCAATCGATAGGTGTTCATGCGAAAAATACATTTCAGTTGCAATTTTTATTCCATCATTAAAACTGTAGGAGCCACAGTTTTGGACGGTTTGTGTGCGTTAGCGTGGCGAAACAAACTTGCGCTGCGCAAGAAACTCAGGAATCTACATGCCAAGTCCCAACTTTCTAGCTTTTGTAGTTTCCGAGATCTCAGCGTTCATACGGACGGACGGAAAGACGGACAGACAGACATGGCTATTAATCCTGATCAAGAACACATCTACTTTATGGGACGGAAACGCTTCCTTCTTCCTGTTACATACTTTCCGACAAATCTAGTATACCCTTTTGCTTTACGAGTAACGGGTATAATTATATTTAACATCTATTAAGCAAAACACCTCTTGGCGAGGTAAAACCCCAGTGACAATCTCATTTTCAATATACAAATGTTATAAGATCAAATTTTTTGACCAAAATAATAACCCTTCGACTAAATATAAAGGCTTTATACAAGTAAATATAAAACCTTTTCGCCTACACTGGCATATTTTATTGTCGCTTAATAAAAAAATGGGTACATTATTATCCATAGGTCTTTGAATTTTTGACCGTCTTTAATATCCATTTCGGATGTTTAGATTACATTTCATCAAAATAGAGTTCAAACAACTTAAGGGTTCAGAGACCTCCGTGGTACATTTCTTCGTTTAGGAAGCCTTTATCATTACCTATGTATGTCTATTTTTTTGCTGTGCGTTAGTTCCGGGGCTTTTTAGTTGTTTTTATCAAATTTTTAATTTTAATTTTTTTTTTTTTAAATATTTTTAGTGGTTCATTAGTGGTTTGACATTTGCTCTCCTGCAAGTGCACACGACTGATCATCACACCTGTAAGTGAAAGCTACTTTGTTTTCGCGCGCCATCTTGGGGAAATATTTACCGGCTTCACGGGGCTGCAAACCTGCTCAGAAATTCCGCAAGTGCGAATGAAAAATCATTAGGAAAATATTTAATAATCAGCTTATTCGGTCGCCACTTTTTTGTGATTGGTGTGGTCTTTCCCACGAGAAAGAGGATCATCATCAAAAAGTTGACCATTAAGTTGCTTGGTCTTTGCACGGTCACGTCCGCAAGTCAATGTCAAACACGAAGGACTACACTCCTCCCAGTTAGATATGCCGTACGTCAGAAATTTCATCTTATTTTCCGTTGAATTTGCATAATTTCGAGCAGTCAGACCGGCCCAGTTGATTAAAGTGATAGTCTCTGACGCCGGGTTCCCTTTTCTTTTTCCTGTCTGGCCGGTCTTTTGTTCAAATATACATACTATGAAAGTGTGCTCATGGGGAAACAGGAATTGGACTGGAGACTTTCTGTTTTTTAGTTTTCAGTTAGCTTTTTGCAAAGTCAAGGTAAATATTAGATTTTTGGTTGCGGAATTTCTCGCTCTTTTCCGGTTTCACTTTGGCCTCTATGCAGATGAACGTGTGCCAGTCGGTGCGAACGGTGCTGTGTGCAGATGTAGGTAAGGCAAATATTAGCTTACATTTTTGGGCTTACAAAGTTTTTGGCCAGGTCGACAAAAGGCCCGCGGCGACATTAAACTAAAGTTGAATTTCTAGCACAAAAATTGCTTCGGGGCACCAGGCTGGGTAATGAGATGGGCTGGTTGTTGTGAGTGAGGAAAGCTTCAGAGACAACAAATGAGAATCATTATCATACAAATGAGAATGTTTGAGAGCTACAGCCAAGTCTTGGGAATTGTCTTTTTGTCAAAAGCAAATAAGATGAATTTCTATACCCTTGCTCAGGATATTTCAATTTTGGTCAGAAGTTTGCAACGCACTGAAAAAGGCAATTCTTTTCCAATAACATATGTATATATGTTCTTGATCAGCTTCACTAGACGAGTCGATATTGCCATGTCCGGCTCTACAAAAAATAGTCTCGTAGGCTTGAAAGCTATCGTTATGAATCTTTCCCAAAAGCCTTCGTTTTATTGCAGGCAGGATCGAGCAAGCCACCACGGGAGCCCCCAGGTCTTTCTAATCATATCACTTCTTCTATGGGCTATAGCATTATTTAGACTTCAGAATTACAAATTTAATTGTATAAAAATCGGACGACTATTTAGTTGCCATAGTGTATATAGGGATTATACTGTTCCTGTAAGATACGGATGTTTCTAATCGCTTGCTATGTTTTTAGCTGGCAGGATATACATATAAACCGAAGCTGACTTCCATTAACTCTATTATACTTTTTAACTTAAAACTAATTTAGTATTTTGTACGAGCTCTTAATGTAATATAATTGTTATTAAATAGAAAACTAAAATCCTATAAAACGAAAACCGAACTTTTCTGGCTTAATCAAACCAACATAATGTTTTTACCTCTATCCATTGCTCTTCCCACCTGTTACTTTCTGTTATTTTCTTGATCAAATCGTGCTATCTTTCTCTACTTATTTAGTCTGCAATAATTATTTTTTATCAGTTATATATACTTTCAGACTTCCTCAGCTTTTGTTTTCTTTCTTTTTCGTCGGCTGCTTTTGTTGCTTTTAATTACAGAGCCAAATTAAAAAATGTCGCTTCATTTGAAGGGTTTTGTTGCAGGTCCAGGTTTTAACTTTTCATGTGCTATAGTTGGCACACTTCTCCTGCCCCAAAAAACACCGCCCCCGTAGTTGTGCACATGTCCCGCGTGTCACGTTAAATGTCAGGCAAACAAAAGGCTCTTCTGTCTCGTGCATAAAAGCGTTCATCCTACCCATTAATTTTTGCATTCGTTTTTTGCTATTTTCGGCTTTTTTCCACCCGTTGAAATGAAAAGTGGACGAACATGAAAAGCATCCAAATGCGCTTTCAATAACCAGGTGGCATACCCCAGTCCTTTTCCACGCTCCCATTTTCGCGTTGAAAAGGACATTGAGTGAGAAAAAAGAGGAAAACTTTTTCGCTCTTTTGTGGTTGACCGAACATTTGCAGTTAAAAGTTAAAAGCTCGCTGAAAAGGCAAAAAAGTTGAGAAAAGTAAGACAAAATATTTTTTACATTCTGCAACATTATTGACCGAATGCTGGCAAAGGTAAAAAATACAAGGTGTGCGAATAAAAGACAATTATACCCGTGCAGAGTGGAAAATTATTTCAGGGTGGATAGATAGGGGATAGATCCCCCCACTTGGGTTAAAAATTTTATGTAGTTTATATTTTATTCCAAATTTTGTATTTCTCATTAAAAGAAACTTCATCTTGCCGAAGTTAGCTTCCTTTCCTTGTTTTTAAAGTTAAAATATACAAGTTTAAAACATTTAATACACTTAATTAAGCGAAACTGTATCCCTGTTAATATACTTACATTAGAAAATATTTATTTTTCGCTAACCAAATACTTGATGTGTTTATCATTTCAGTGAAGAAACTGAATAATTTATCCGAGCTTCAGAGTTTACCTTGCGGCTTATTTCCCGTGGCAACTGCTTATTTTTTTGTACGGTCAGACAGATAGATGAACTGGTTGCAGTTTGTGGCAAGTGGCAGGCAACAAAGATTTTCCGGAACGGTTGCAGAAAGTAGATGCAAATAACTATAGTAAACAAACGACAAAAATGGTCCTTGCCGCTGCTGATTATGTTGCTGTTGCTAAACGGGCTATTCTTAGTGCAGCTGCCTTTTTTCCATATCAGCGGGGAAAAGTCGCCATCAGGACTCACAGCCCCATGCGGCATTTTCCATTTTCCTTCTTGCAACTTCAGCTGGGTCCCTGTGCGACGCCGTGTGGCAGCATTTTCCTCTGCTTTTTACTTTGCTGCCTGCCAGATTATCCGCTTGCCTTCTTCCTTTCTTCTCAACTGTTTTTTGTCGCCTTTAACGCTGCCTAATTGCCTAATTAGGCATTTGCTGGCCGAGCCAAAACCATCCGGCCAACTCATCTGTCTCCCAGCCATTTTTGCATTTCCCCCCTTGCCGAGTGCAATTTATTTATAATCCTCTTTTCATTTTGCCTTTGCAGGTCCCGAAGATGTACTGAAGTTTGTGGGTAACGAAAGTGTCGTGGATCACTTTAAGCTCGTCACTAAGGATGGCAACAGTCTGCTCATCGGTGCCAGGTAAAAATGCTTAACCATTTAACTTATTTGACAGCAACAAATATAATATGACACATGCCGTAAGTGATGGGTTTCCAATTAAATACTTGCACATGTTGTCAATTTTTGAAGTACCTAATAGGATAAAAGATGGTTTTAGTAATATCTTTTATATTTTTGAGGATTGCTCCCCTTTTAATTATAAGTTCCATTTGGATTAGCTCCAAAAATTCTTTGATTTAAGGGAGAACATTTTTATACTCGTTACTCGTAGAGTAAAAGGGTATACTAGATTCGTCGGAAAGTATGTAACAGGCAGAAGGAAGCGTTTCCGACCCCATAAAGTATATATATTCTTGATCAAGATCACTAGCCGAGTCGATCTAGCCATGTCCGTCTGTCCGTCTGTCCGTCTGTCCGTCTGTCCGTCTGACCGTCTGTCCGTCTGTCCGTCTGTCCGTCTGTCCGTCTGTCCGTCTGTCTGTCCGTCCGGATGAACGCTGAGATCTCGGAAACTATGAGAGCTAGGCTATTGAGATTTGGCGTACTGATTCCTGAGCTTCTTACGCAGCGCAAGTTTGTTTCAGTAGACTGCCACGCCCACTCTAACGCCCACAAACCGCCCAAAACTGTAACTCCTACAGTTTTGATGCCAGATAGAAAATTTTAACTGAAATGTATTGTTCTCATCAATACCTATCGATTGACTTAAAAAAAAGTTTGCCACGCCCACTTAAACGCCCACAAACCGCGAAAACCTGTGACGCCCACAATTTGCATGCTAGATAAAAAATTTTAACTGAAATGTATTGGTGTCGTCAATACCTATCGATTGATCCAAAAATAATTTTGCCACGCCCACTCTAACGCCCATAACGCTTAAATCTGTCTACCGCCGGTAGGTGGCGCATTTTAATTTCGCTTTGCTGCTTGCATATCTCCATTTCCCTTTGAGTAACGGGTATCTGATAGTCGAGGTACTCGACTATAGCGTTCTTCCTTGTTAATATTAGGAATGCTTACCCTAGTGGAAAACGCACATAAAGCAAACTTCAATTTACTTTTGCAGACATTGTATTCAATTTAAGTAGAAGACACGAGCATGTTCACTTCCCCTTATATGTACAAACATGACAAACTTTCTCAGGACCGAAAATGGCGTTGTTTTCGAGGGAGGAAGTCTACCCTTAGCTAGTTCTCGTGGCAACTTTGATTTTGCAACGCTGGCAAGAGAAACAGAAACAAAAACCAGTGCCAAGGGAAGCGAAAAGTTTTGCAGCAGGTGCCCCAAAGATATGAGTAACTGTGCTAAAGTTTTCAGTACTTCCTTTTTGAGATATAACACCTAAAGACTTAAAGGGTTTTCAAGATTGGGCCAAGACTCAAGCCTTTTTCTTAACTGAGGGGCGACTATACAACTGTTCTATACCGCAAATATTGGGCTTGTTTTATTTTGCCTAGACAATGCCATCATATGAACACTTCAAGACACCCACATGTACACATATGAACATATTAAAATGTTGCACTCTTTTTGGGTCCCAACGAGACTTTATAAACTTGACTGATTCTTCGTCTTTGTTTGGAAACATAGAAACTTTTTAGTCTAGGAATGCTTGCAGCTTGTAAGGAAAGGCATCAACACATAGGATAAAATTCCATTATCAAACTTTAAACCAACTCTTAAAAACGGAAAACGAGCATTTTTTGCTTTAAAAAATATCAAACTCGGACAGATTAGGCATGAAGATTCTAGAGATTCTTGCGCAGCGCTAGTTTATTTCAGCAGGGTGTCATGCCCACTCTATCACTCTAAAAAATCGCATAGCGCTATAATCTGCTTAAAGTGTAAATGGGTTTATGTTTTAATTATGGTGGCTTGGTGTACATTCTTGGCAACATTCGCTTTGCTGCTTGTATATCTCCATCTCCCTTGCACTTCCCTTAGCTGAGTAACCGGTCTTGTTTTTCTCAGACAATTTGTAAAGGCTTGCTTTGAACTTGTAATTTCTTACAAACATGAAAACAACATTTACCCGCTTTCAGCGCCAAGTGATTTCTGTGGCAAAAACTAATTAATGTGCCGGGCAGTCAAAGTAGTTACGAAGGCAAAAAGAAATCTTATGTGATGGTTCGATTCTAACGATCGAAGGGTAATGCGTTATCTAAAAGACCAAAGAAATTTCAAATAGTTCATGAAAAAGAGCACTGAAAGCTTAAATGTAAAGATTTAAAAAATTTAATTAGTTAGGGCTAGTGGGAGACTCTACTTCTGTCTTTACGCATGGCTAAATTTTTGATGAATATGAGCTCAGCCTGCAATCTCATTTGTTACAATGAGTACTGTTTTTGGCCCATTGTTTATGAAATTGGCGAATCCCTTTCTGGTTTTAAAATCGTTATTATTGCATTATGCTGCTCGAGATAGAAAACTTTTTTGTACCACTTGATAATTATTAATAATAAAATAGATATTTGTTATTTAAATGTGTGTGAAAACAAATAATATTTTGTTATAATTAATTTAAGTAAAAGGTGCCAGTTTTTTTATGGTCTATTATAAATAAATATTTTAATAACTCAAAAATCTCTCACTCTTTTAGTGGGTAGTAAAATATATTTTCGTGATAGTTCAAGTGAAAGTTTGTATGTGAAGGTGCGATTGTTTTTTTTTGTTTGTTATTTCACTACAGTAACTATACTGTACTTATGTGATTTCATAATGAGCAATTTTGTTGGAAGTGACGTCTATCGTCTGGTTCACAATTATCACATATTTCTATTTGTTAGCCTCAACCTCTATAAAATGTTATCACGACACTGATGTTGTTGGATGGGAACCGAAGTTTTACATCTTTTAAAAATCACAGCCGTGTTACAGAGACGGGCTCTTTGGGACTGTTGTAAAATTAGCCCCACATTTCTATATTATTTACATATATAATAAGTAGTCTGAATTGCTTTTATAAATAATTTACAATGTGAAGATAATGTGGCAGTAAAATACAAAAGCATAACCAAGAAGTAACTAAGGCCGGAAAATTAAAGGGACCCCAAACACACACACACATACATTTGATTACCAATATAGGGACTGACATTGCTGTGGGTAAGGGTGTTCCAGTTTTTCTTTTTCGCACGCATGAACAAATTTGTATGCCGGCAATGTCGTTGCCAGAGTTGCCACTTACGTGATTAATGGATTTTTAACAAGTTGCACACTCGCATTGCGAATGGGAATTCACACACGCACATATCCACTTATCAGACCCCAAAAGAGTCAATGTAACCAAAGGAAAACCTCTCCGACGACTGTTGGTGAAAGCCAAAAAGCGCCACGTGTGTTCGAGTGTGTGCGTGGGCTTGGGTTGCGTCGTGTGCGTACGGGTAGGTAGGTGTTTTTTAGGGTTAGGGCGAACCAACTAAACTAGGATGACAGGCGGAAATGCGAATGTGACACGCGTTTTGCATGTGAAACGTCATGAACAATGTTAAAAAAGAGTGAGTGGAAAGGAAAGTTATACAAGAGAACTTCACCCCAGTCCTACCGATCGCCCATTTTCAAGAGCGGGGCTATACCGATATATATCCTGTGGCTAAGCAGGAACTATGTTATGTGTGTTATCCCTTGCCTGATGTCAGCCAGTTTTGTCTTTTTATTAAGAATAATAAAAAAAAAGGTTTATTGGTTGACAAGAAGAAAAATTTTTTTCCCATAAAAAGGCGGAGCCTCGCGCATCTTAATTCGAAAAACAAAACATTTAAATGTTGCTTCGTTTTTAAATTTATTAATTATGCCACAAATAGTGGTCAAATTCCCCATAGTGTAATGGACTATCGTGTGATGTCCATAATAGACACGAGAAAACGCTATAGTCGATGGCCTCGACTATTAGATACCCATTACTCAGCTAAAGGCCGAGCGAGAGGCATGAAGATGTGCTTAAGGCAAGTCTGCTTCTTTTATTCACTAACAGACCTACCCTATAGCGCCATCCAGCGCCACCTATCAGCACATAGTACCAACTAGCCTATAGCATCAACTAGCCAATGACGCCCCTAGCGCTTGATAGCGTATTGGTGAAAACAGCTGATTTGCTGCATGTGGTGTGCAATCTCAATTGAATTGCAAAATATTGATTAATTTTTGGTCATAACTTTTTAATCCGATTTCAATCATTTTTTCATATAGATGGGTATTGATAATAAGAACAAAAACTCGTTGAAACTTTGAAAAAATACATAAAAATGTAGGCGCTAGACGGGTTTAATTGTTCGTTTGTGGGCGTTAGAGTGGGCGTGGCACCCTGCTGAAATAAACTCGCGCTAAGTAGGAAGCCATAGAATCTGCATGCCAAGTCTAGCCCTTATAGTATCCGAGGTTTCAGCGGTCATACGGATTGACAACATGGCTAGACCGACTCGTCTAGTGATTCTGAACAAGAATATATATATTTTATGGGGTCGGAAACGCTTCCTTCTGCCTGTTACATACTTTCCGGCGAACCTAGTATATCCTTTTACTCTTTGAGTATATATATTCTTGATCGGGATCGATCTAGCCATGTCCGTCTGTCCCTACGAACGCTGTGATCTCGGAAACAATAAAAGCTGCAATACTGGGATTAGGCATGCAGATTCTAGAGATTCCCGCGCAGCGCAAGTTTGTTTCGTCAGTTTGCCACGTCACAAACCGCCCACAAACTTCAACAAATCGTTCATATGAACGCGGATATCTCGGAAACTATGAAAGATAGGGAATTGGGATTTCAGATTCTGATTCCGTAGCCTTGTACGCAGCGCAAGTTTGTTACGAGAATGTGCCACGCCCACAAACCGCCCAAACCCGTGGCGCCCACAATTTTCATGCCAGAAACAAAATTTTAACTGAAATGTCTTAGACTCGTCAATAGCCATTGATTTATCTTAAAATAAGTTTGACACGCCCACTTTAACGCCCACAAACCGCCCAAACCTGTGACTCCCACAATTTTCATGCTGGAAACAAAATTGTAACTGAA